TCCTTACTGCTGCATACAACCCACATAGAACTAAGAGGTCTGTCTGATTTCCCCATCTTCCAATGAGAACAGGGATACACCTGGACTTAGATGACTGATTAGGCTGGGATGGATAGACACAGGGGCATATGGAGGCCAGGAGAGAAAGTGGTAACTAGGGGTGCAGAGAGTCATAGCAACTGGCAGCTGCTACAGTAACTACAACCTTGGGGAAGACAACATGGACTGACTATACCTATGGTAGCTATTAGTTCTTTATTTTTCCTTTGGTTTTTTTTTCATATAGTCTTGTTATGTTGCTTAGGCAGAGGACAGGCTGGCCTCAAACTCATGGGGATCCTCCTGTCTCAGTCTCTTAAGTGCTGGTACTGCATACCTGTGCCACCATCCCCAGTGATTGGCTTTTACGGTATATCAATAATGTGCACGGCAATATCTGGATTGCCTCTGTGTCATTAGCAATACAGAAATCTGAGTACTGGGCCAAATACACGGTAGCCTGTGCTTCCACATAAAGAGGTGTGTGGATTCTGGGACAGAGGCAAAGGCCGATAGTTATCCACAGCCAGAATGCATCACTGAAAAGCAGACACTAACTAAAGAGATCTCCATATCAGCAATGAAGTCTTCCCACTATGATTAACTTGCAATACTCAGCACAAAAAAGAAAACAAAAACTTGAGAGGGACACAAAAAACTCCCAAACTTGCAAGAGTTGATCCATGGGAAACTGGTGGGGAGGAAATAAAAAAACATAGCATAGAATTATATGAAGGCATAGATGAAAAGAGAAAAAAAAATGAGTAAGGTGCTTGGGAAGCTCAAGAAGATATAATTAAACAATGGACTCAATAGACAAAACGATCACTGAGTTTACAGAAGACACTAAGAAAAAGCTAGCTGAACCAAACAAAACATTACAAAAATGAATGACCAGTTTAGCAAAGGATTAAGAGTCCAAGAGAAGGTCCTAAACAGAAATCCAGGGGATTAAAGACGCTATTGACAGTATAGGCAGTGGAAGGGACAGTGTTAGGACAGTGTCAAAACTAGAAGATAGGGCTGATGTCAGGTGAACAGTTATTCTGAGATAACTTAAAACAGAAAGAGAACATGAAAAATGGAGCCAACAGCCATTGAAGATACAAAAAAGAATAAGATTAATTTGAATTAGCGAAAAACCTGAAGACAGCACAAACAGCATAAAAACAGTTTACAGATATAGGAGCAGAAAATTTTCCAAATACAGGGAAAGAATTTGACATACAGACCACCAAATAGCCACAATATGTTGTGGAAAGGGATCTCTCCATAACACATCATACCCAAAATCTCAAAAGCTCAACATAAGGATTTTTTTTTTTTCCTTTGAGACAGGCTCTCAGTATGCAGTTCAGGTTGGCCTTGAACTCACTATGTAGCCCATGCTGGCCTTGAACTCACAACAATCCCCCTGTCTCAGCCTCCTGAGTGCTGGTATGTATCACCACACTTGGTAAGGACAGAGTGTTAAAATCTATTGGGGAAAAGCAACAAATTGCTTATAAAGATAAGCCCACTAGAATTATAATGAATGCTTAACAAATCTTAAAGATCAGGAGAACTTGGAATGAAGTGTTTCAAACTCTAAAAGAAAACTTCAAATCAAGACTTTTTGATCCTGTAAAACTATCTTTCAAAATTGATGGAGGAATAAGGTCCACAAAGAGCACCTTCAGAATTTCAATACCATCAAACCAGCACTTCAAAAAATTCTCAAGGATATCCTAGAGAGACAATAAAACCAAAAACACCTACACAGTCTAATAGAATGAATACAGCAGGTAAGGTGAGCAGTTAAACAGAAGGAGAAAAAAGAGAATCAGAAACAGGAAAATAATATAATGACAGGAATAAGCCAATGGCTTATAATAATAACTTTCAATTCCCAAATCAAAAGATATGGATTGGCAGAATGATCAAGAAAAAAAATCCAATGGTACACCATTGGGTGTATACAAGAAACACATTTAATACAAAAAGAAATTTCAAGACTAAAAATCAAAGGATTAAAAAATAATATTCCATTTTCTATGCAATAAAAAGGAAAGTGAAAATAAGCAGGAACAGTTATCCTAATTTTATACAAAGTAAACTTCAAGCTAAAACTAATCAAAAGAGACAAAAAAGGGTCACTACATATTGCTTAAGAGACTAATTCAACAGGAAGACATAACAATTATAGACACATATGCACCCGTGACCAGCACACCCAACTTCATAAAACAAATACTACTGGCTAGGTGTGGTGGCATATGCCTGTAATCCCAGCAGTTGGGTGTCTGAGGCAGGAGGATCAGTGCAAGTTAGAGGCCAGCCTGGGCTACACAGTGAGTTCAAGTCCAGCCTCAATTACCAAAACAACAAAATATACCAAACAACAAAACAAAACACCCCCAACCCCGAACAAATGAACAATACTGCACATAAGAAACAGATTAACATCAGCACAATTATAGTGGAGGACCATAACACTCTACTGACATAAACAGATCAACTAGACAAACAACAAATACAAAATATCAGAACTGAACCAAACTTCTGAACAGATACATTTAATAGATATCTACAAAGGGTCCCACCCAACAGGAAACATACATCCTTCTCAGCAGTACTGGAACCTTATCTAAAGTAGATCACATACTAGCCCATAAAGCATGCTTAAGTAAATACAAGAATCAAAATTATCCATGCATATTATCAGATCATAGTGCAATGAACTAGAAATCAACGGCAAAAGAAAGCACAGAAATTATGCAAACACGTGCAAATTAAACAATACACTCTTGAATAATCAATGGCTCACAGAAGAAATCAGGAAAGACTTAGGTCCTAGAATCAAATGATAACGCTAGTACAACACAACAGAACCTAAGGGAAACAATGAAAACAGACCTATAAAGGAAATTCATATCTATGAATGACCACATCAGAAAAACACAGTATACCAAATAAATAACCTAATGATTCACCTCAAGGCCCTAGAAAAATAAAAACAAAACCAAACTAAGTACAAAGAAAGAATTATAAAGATCAGAGAAGAAATTAATGAAATTGAGACTGAAAAGAAATACAAGGAATTAGGCTAGCGATGTAGTTCAGCAGCACAGAGCCTGCCTGGCAAGTGCAAGTTCCTGAGTTTGATTCCCAGTACCAAAAAAAAAAAAAAAAAATTTAAAAAAAAAGAAAGAACTACAAAGAATCAATGAAATGAAAAGCTGGTTCCCTGAAAGAATAAACAGACACTCAGCAAATATTATGAAAAAAAAGGAAATAAAACACTAATGTAATTAGAAATGAAAAAGGTGAAATCACAAGGTACACTGACAAACTCCAGTTTATTAGTATTTCAAAAATCTACATTAAAATAAATTGTGGGATCCAGAAGAAATGGATAGTCTTAAATACATATGAATTACCAAAACAGAACCAAGACACAAAAATCCTGAATAATCCAATAATCAACAGTGAAAATGAAGCATTAATAAAAGACCTAGTAAGACTACAAGCTCTACAAGAAGTTCAGGGAAGACCTAATGCCAATAGTCGTCAAATTCTAACGAAACTGAAAGGGAAGCAGTACTGCCAAAATCTTTTACTCCTGGAAGCTAGCAGTACCTGATTCTAAAATCAGACAAAGATCCAACTTAAAAAAGCAGAGGCCAGGGTCTATAATGAATAGAAGCAAAAATCATCAAGATACTGGCAAACTCAATGTAACAAATCATCAAAAAGATCATATACCATAATCAAGCAGGCTTCATTCCAGGAATGTAAGGATGATTCAACATACACAAATCAGTAAACTTAGAATATCAAACAGAAGCAAAAACAAAAATCATATGATCATCTCAATAGACACGGAGAAAGGCTCTGAAAAAATGCAATGATTGCTTGATAAAAATCCTGAAGAAAAACTTACTGTTAACATCATATTAAACTGGACAAAGATGAAAGATTTCTCTGTAAAATCAAGAATGCTCCATATCACATAACATAGATACTTTAAACAAATTATGATGTATCTAGAAACTGAACTTCTTATATTTCTCATCTGAGTCTCAGGTGAATTATATCAGAATGGACCAACCCTATGGGACCAGGACACAGCTCTGTGGTAGTTGCCTACCTAGCATGCTCGCTGCATGGGGACACTCCCAGCACTGCAACAACACTGCATCCCCAGCCTCCAACACTGCCGTGGCACATAACAGGTCCTTATATATATAGATATATCTATATATCTATATATCTATGTATCTATATACACCACGTAGCCACTGAGAATAAAACTTTAAAGTTTACTAATATTGGGAAATGTTTAGAACGTGAAAAAGAACAGATTATTAAACACATATGGTTTTATCCAATCAAAATGCGTACAGGTAGTGCCAGGTATGGTGGTACACGACTGTAATCCCAGTATTCAGGAAGCTGAGGCAGGAGGATTGCTATGAGTTTGAGGCCAGCCTAGGCTACATAAAGAGTGTTCAAGACCAGCCTGAACTGCAGAGTAAGACTCTGTCTCAAAAAAACTGCCCACAAAACCAAAAAAACTCCCAACCAACCAAGAAAAACCAAACAAATACATGTAGATTGCCTATGTATTAAAATGAGCTACTGTTGTTAACCAGGATTATTTCTGAATAGAATACTTTATTCTATAATTTAAAACATTTACATTTTCCATGACAAATATGTATTAGCTTTCGAATCACATATAAAATACACTTTCAAGTAATGTATTACAGTGATTCTTATTTTAAAAAATCTTAGCTAGGTGTGGTAATACATACCTGTACCCCCAGGAAGGAGACTCCAGTAGAGACATCAAAGGCCAACACAGGCAACTAAGCCCCTGTCTCAGAAAAAAATAAGCTATCTAGTTCTCTGGTAGACTACTCTGGGCTTGATCCTCAGTACTGTAAAACAAAACAGATCACAACAAAACTACCTCTTACCCTTAGGGTTACTTCTCGTGCTTTGGGATTTCGAATAGATGGTCCCGATGAAACATAATCAGCAGTGTCAATTTCAATAGGAAAATGCTTCTCGCATTTCTCATCACTGTCTAGTGCAGCTGGCCACTCAGTGCAGAAATCTGACAATTTAAAAAAATTATCTCAATTATGATTTTGCAAGTAAAGTGTCAGTCACTGTAAAGCATGGTGCCAGAAATTACCAAAATCACTCTGAGGTCACATAAATGAAAGCAGAGATTCTCTGGGACCTAGGGGGCTAGGGGGCAGCTTGTAGTAAAGGATGTGCTTACCATACATGAGGTTCACTAAAATTTAAAAGGGGGGTACCCTGCCTTAATGGAAGGGCATCACAGTTCTGAATATACCTAGTATGGGTCAATTTAATTCTTCCTTACCAAGTAAAAGTAAACAAATGTAACTATTACATACTATAAACATGCTAATTAAAAAAGTACAGTTCAGTGCTCACAGCATTAAAGTCTGTGGAAAACAAGATATTAATCCACTCCCAAAGGAAGATTATGAAAGACCAGCTGAAAGAGATGGGAAAAAGTTTCAGGAAAGCTCTAAGATGGAACTGAAGTATAGTCAATAATTCCAGAAACTGAATTAAGTAAAGACTCAAACAGGTACAAACCTAAGTCATTCTTATATAGATCCATACTGTACCTGATGTTTCTCTAAGTGATACCTATGTGCCAATGGGGCTATGGAAAGAGGAAAAGTTCTGCCCTCATATTTTGGCAAGACAAACGGTTCAGAGAGGTGAGACCTAAGCCACAACAGGAAGTTCTGAGCACTGCGAACACGGCTCTTGACGCCAGAGCATGAAGGTTTGAATTCAAGGACCAAGTGGGAGGTGGCTCCCAGCCCTCTACAAGCATTAACAGCTGACTTCATACTACTCTATTCCTATCAGGCTGGCACAGTAGAGAGCGCTTAGCTTGGGATGTAAACTTCTGACACTATCAGACTCCCTTTCTCGCTGCTTAACTAACTAGTCTCACTCTAAGAACAACTAAAAGCAGTTGTCTTCTTGGGTCGAACATGTTAAACCTCATGCATCCACGCTTCCTCCAATAAAGTACAAAGTGGGAAAAGCTGGTCATAATCACAGGCGGATGTGGAAACACTTCTACGTGATAATCCAAGGGACAGTGAGTGATATTTTGCCAGTAACATTTTTTGACGCTAATAATTTTCTAATAATAGGTACTATACTTAGCTCATTTTAGATTTCATTTTTAAATCGGAATCAGTAAAATGTCACTCTGGTTTACGAAGACTTTCTGATACCCGAGACTAAATATATGCTTACAAAGTAAGCAAAGGTCACACCACTCCCTAAATATCTTGTTTAAAAGATCCATACTTTAGTTACTTTGAAGGCAAAGAAATATCTTGGGAATTAAGAACGCTTTGACATTTAAAAAAATGAACAGAGCGAGACTACTGAGTTGGATTTCATTCCCATAATGGACCAGTTCCAACATCCTGCACTGTAAGACGCATCACTGGCAAGCACTCTGCAGGAATAACGAGTTTGGAGACCATCATAAGCTTTTAGGTTTGCAATGAATCTTTGTTTTTCTTTTAAACCATGAATAAATCATTTCAATCACCAGATGATAATTATAGTTGGTAAATTAAATTACCTAGATTATATGTCTAAAAAAACACAGCCACCACTCATCCAATAGAGGAATGACTAGACTTTAAAAGCCCTTGGTTTTTATTTAACTTCTGCCACTGACTGTTAAAATTTTGGTAAATTATCTAATGTTCCTGTACTTCAGATTTTCCATTTGCAAGTTATAAAAGCTGATGTACTCTGAAAGGAAACTGAGAAGAAATATTTGAAAACCTTTTGAGGTTTTTGGAACTCGCAACCAAATCCATAGGCTTGCAAAAATGTAAGGCACAATTAAGGAAAGATTAAACAGTCACTTAAGTACTGTAAATAATAACATTACTTTTGCTAGATTATAAACAGAAATTTAGGGTTGGGGATATAGCTCAGCATCACAAGCACCTGCCTGGAAAGTGCAAGGTCCTGAGTTCAATTCATGGTTCCCAAAAAAAAGGACTGGGGATGTGAGACCCTGCATTCAATTCCCAGTACCATCACATATAAACATAACTTTAAAAATGTTTAAAATGGAGAAATGAAATTTTTCAAAATGTATAGTAATGGAATCACTTCTAGGTCCAGTTCCAAGCACAGATGAATACAGAACCAAACACTGAGGGGACAGAAAACCATTCTAAGGTTCAAAAGCAAAGACCACATAAATGAACTGAAATAGATTTCTCTTCCCTTGTTTCAAGAGTTAGGTTCTTATTCCTGTTTTAAGATCTCTTTATATTTTCTTCAATTTTTTGAATGGAAGTTCCTCCTAAAAGATCAAATGTAATCACAGTTATGGTCACTATCCCATTTTCCTTCTAGCAAAATCAAGCTATGAAATGTTGCTGGGTTTTATTTTTTTTTCCTGAGAAGCCTTAACAAGTATACCGAAAGTTTATATACTTTTAAGTCAACATGAATACACTGACTTATTTAATAGTACTAATTCTTCAATTAAACTACAGTCAACCACTAATAGCTGTAAACCAAAATTCAAATGTGCTTAATCAATACAAATTACACAAAAATTTGCATTTCTCTCTATGCACATAGAAAGTAGGAGTCATAAGTGCTACATGAAACATAAGTTTATACCTAGGAAACATGGGACGGTGTTTAAAACCAATAAATCTACAACAATCATAAGGTGGTGATTACTGCTATTATTTATTCATTTACATGTAACAACATGCAGAGTACATATTATAAGTATAAATAAATTCTCTTTCTCTGGAAGTAATTACTAGAACTAAATAACATTTAAAAGAGAGCATTTCTGGGATGAGAAGCTGGGGACGGGGAAGAACGTACTTGGGACTTGCTTCTCATCATAGGTTCTTCTGTTTGATCCAGCACATGCATATATCACCTCTAATGTTTTATAATTCTGAGCAATTTCTTTATGATAACTCTTAGCACTCTATGCCTAAACTCACTGACTGCTTTGCCACTCAGTATGCTTCTGTACTATCTTTAGTTTGAATCATATTGACTTGTACCTATTGGCAAAACTTCAGTATTTTTATGTATATTATTATTGTAACTCAGTAAGTCCCTCATCTACCTGTGAACAAACATTATAGTTCCAACTTCTACTTATTATTCATAATTTCTTATAGAGTTGATAGCTAAAAACTCACTGAAAATAAATTTTAAAATCCTTTAAAAACAGAGAAATTTACAGTAACTCAGTTTATAAGACTATCTCATTAGACCTAAGACTCTTAATTTTATGTTCAAAGTCAATAAAAAATTTATATTAAAAGTAAATTACTTACCTTTAAGAGCTTGGCAGTGCTTTTTAATTGCTACAGGAGTCAAATGCAGAAAATTAGGGATCTAAAACAAAGAAATTTAAGGTATAAATTAGAGCAAAATGTCTTTTTTATTTTTTTGGAGATTTATTCTCTTTGCTGACCATAGTGCTCTCAAATCTTTGGGTTCAAGTGATCCTCTGGCCTCTTGCATAGCTAGGACTATGCGTGTGCTACCAAATCAAGCTAAATGTCATAAAAACATGGAAAAGACAGTTTTCTCATAAAACTAAACAACAGGTCCAATAAACTATGCAGTAAATAAAATCTGATAGCTCTTTTACTATGTTAATTCTATGTCACAGATATTACCAATTCAAGAAACAAATTTCTTACAATATATATTCAGTACCAATTAATGTATGATGATACTCTGGTGTATTTTCTTTTTTCTTTTTTTTTTTTGGTGGTACCAGGGATTGAATTCATGACCTCGCGCTTGCCAAGTAGGCGCCTATGCCACTGAGCTATATCCCCAGCCCCTCTGGTGTATTTTCAAATCATATAAATCTTTCACCTTTAACAAGTATCCTATGGCAACACGTTGGAAAAATAAACGTAACTTTTATGGTATTTCTCTTTTCATGAGTCTACAGGTGTATACATATATTTTCTTAGTAAGACAGAATGCACTTAAGCACACAGATCATTGCTTAATCATCCCAATTCTCCTAGAAAGACTAGCATGGTATTATTTCCACTTACACATAATCAACATTTTATAAATTTAATGAATGAAAAAATGAAGCTAGTAAATCTTAACAGTTTAAGTTAGGAATATGCTTATGATGATATGCTAAAAGGTTACCTAATTGATATAGTCAATGAAAATTTAGGAAAGACAGACACTTAATTCCTTCAAATAAATAATTAACATTTACTACCATGTTTCCTGAATGATAAGCATGTAAAGACAAGATTTTGCTCAGACTCATTTGGAAAGAAAATCTGAACAAAATGAAAGTGACTCCAAGAATTATGTCTATTACTTTCAGTGTTTATTGAATATATTTATTTTAATTAAGAAAAAAAAAAGGCACCGAACACTGGAACTATGGGATAGACAGCTTCATCCTATGTACTTTTATTAACTCAGTTAATAAGAATATTCAATTATATTACCAGAAATAAATGATGTTCATAAATGTCTGCATTTTTGTGTTTATTCGTGACTATCAACATTATAAATGTACTGCTACTACTTTCAGTCAATGACATTTTCCAAAGGCCTTCTTTTTAAGTTCTTTTCTCTTCATTTGAAGATTTGTCTTCCTCAATATTTGCTTTCTTGTATGTGTGTGCGTCTCTCTCTCTTTTTTTTTTTTGCCTTTTTGAGAGAGGGTTTCACTATGCAGCCCACGCTGGCCTTCAACTAGCAGCGATCCTCCTGCCTCAGACTCCTGAGTACTGGGATTACAGGCAGGCACCACCACTCTTGGCCTCTTGTGTCTCTTGAAATGTTTCCATTTCCAAATTTCCTTTATCTATCTCTAGGAGGAAAATAACACTTTTCTCTATTCCTGTCTCATTTTTAACATCATCTTTTAGCAAATTTTTCTGTTTTTCAAGAAGACTCTCATGTAGTAGAAAAAGAGCTCTTTTCCAATTATAACTTCTATGGTAAGTACTATAAAAGAACCACCTGTGATATGTATCTATCAACCTATGATATTTTCTTCATAAACCCCAAAGTTCATAAATCATATAGGCGTTATCAAGTGAAACATTTAAAATGACGTATTTCCCTTTAAGCAGTAAAGAAGTTAAAGTTGGTGGACTATAACAGTATTATTAAATAATATTCTACCCTTTCTGGAAAGTAAGTTTTAAAAATGGAATCTTACTTCCCAATTCTAAATCTAAGATTATTTCACTTTTCTTAGTTCCACTTAAAGGATACAACATAGAGAAGATACAACAGAAAAGGCCACAAGAGAAATCACATGACTGATTCTTACCTGTTAACAATCCTGGAAAAAATTCCAGAAACACTATATGCTGCTATATTGTGAACCCTAAAGTGGAGGGAAGGTCAGTATTCACTTAGGTATTAGTCTTATCCAACAAACCAGCATCTTATCTCACCTTTAGAAGTTCCAGATTCCCCTCCTTTGCCATGGGAACACCCTTTTTCACTGGATAACCCATCCGAATAGGAAGAGGCACTGTGGAGGGCTTAAAGGGCGCTGCAACAGGGTAAACGCTCGGCCAATCCTGGTCAACAGTCATTTTCTCCGTTCTAGGAGGCAGTGCCTAAGATTCATAAAATACTTAAGATTTTAAAATACAAACATATTCCTTAATTTTAAAGTAAAAGCTGTGATTATGGTAAATAAAAACTAATTAGAAAATCTAACTATATAAAATCTAACTTCCAACTAATCTGCTATTATGCAAGTGGAAAAACACCAAACGTACCTAAATATCTCTAGTTTCCTCAAACCCTCTGTAAAGATCCCCTTTAATATCACACGCAGAGCCGGGGATATAGCTCAGTGGCACAAGCGCCTGCCTGACAAGCACAAGGTCCTGCATTTGATTCACAGTAACCCCCCCCCAAAAATCATGCTCTTTACTAAAAATTGATTTAATTAGCTTTTTGATATATTTCTAAATATTTGTATTTCTAAATTTTTATATATTAAAATTATATTACACTATAATTTCTATATGTATTTCTAAATGTAATTTCTAAAATTTTTTGATGGAAGTCACTACATAATGAGACATTAAAAACTTGGAAATAAGAAAGATAAAGACAGAACACGGAAACAAGTAAATTAGTGTTAAACAGACTTAATAATACATAATGAGAGATTATTTAGGCCCAAGCTACTTGGTAGCTTAATCAATCACATTAACATACATAAACAGTATTAAATAGAAGATGGCCCATATATAAAAGTAGGGCTTACATGGCAATATTCATGTAAGCAAATAGCAAAATCTGCAGTATATGTCCTAGAAATAATATTCTTGTGAAAATTACTGCCAAAGATGATTATAATTTGGTGCCATTTTACTTTTAACTAATGTATGTTCTGAATCCCTGTTTATCAACTGATCTTATAACTTGGATTCCTCCAGAGACACCCACAGGGTCTAACTAGATAGATTAACAACTGTACATAACAGGGTTGGGGCACAGAACTGGCCTAGATGCATGCATATACGCAGGTTGCATCCCCACTAAAGGTACCATCAAAAATACAGTAGTTCTATATTCTGTCTTATATACCTGTTTCCTGGGAGTATGTGAGTCTGCCTCTCAAACACACTTTCTCTAGGCACACACACACAAACACAAGTCAAAGACTAACCCCTACCGGAGCTGCGGCAGTCACCCTGTAACTGTCTTAAGTCTTCTTTGGCAGCAGTCTTCTGCATCTTAATGAGTATCTGTCTCACTTTAGAATTTCAGAAATTATTAAGACAGTACATAATAAAGTACATAAATTGTTTACCTGTCTTCTCATCTGCCTTTCACTTTTGGATGTTCTTTCTGCTGTACATAAAAGATAACCAGCAACAGAAAATTTTAAAACAGAATTGTTCAGCATCAATCATTATTCTCCAATTCTAACACAATTTAATATTCAATAACATAAAAATGAAACAATAACTCAGAGCTTAAAATCATCTTAATGAAAAACAAAAGCTCACTAACTTTTTATTGCAATTGCTGACATAGTGAACTCATCACTTAAAAATATTTTCAGTAGATTTTAAAGTTCACATTAAAAAAACTCACTTTCTGGGAATAAAACATTAAGGTTAGAATTAAGGATTATGAGTCTAATAATAATTGGTTTGAAATATCTTAATTATAAATCTACTTGTTCATATTTGGAATTACTCTTTCTACCAGAAAGACAATGCTTCAGTTTTTCTTTCTTTATTGTACATAACAATTGCTAATGCTACAATGACACTAATAACAAAAGTCTATACCTGTTAAAATATTACCTTACTCCAAGTACCACAAAAATTTACCTTATGCTTCTCTAAATGTTTTGTTGTACAACATAATAAAAGCTATGTTTATCGAGTATTTTCTTACGCAGACACTGCATTAAAAGCTAATTTTCTATTTAATCCAATTCATTACAAGAAATACAAGTATTATTGCTATCCCTCTTTAGAGGTCACTCACAGTCAACAAAACTAACGAGCAAGAAGTTAAGGTAAAATGAGCAGGGTGTACAAGGCTGTTCACACTCTGATCTGCTGTCCCTAGCTCTTCTCCTTTCACAAGGTTTCACAGCTATAATGAACTACCAGGACGACCTTTTGGTCTTTCTCTGAATTTTTTGTTGTCTGTGCTTGGAATGTGCTTCCCTTGTATCTGCCTGACTCCTACCCCTTCTCTTTTCCCTACTCATTTCTTCATCTGACATACTTCTATTCATCTCACTATATTCATCTGAAGTTTTAAAACTAGGAAAGAACAAAACATAGTTCTTGGTCTCACAGAATGTACATTCCATCAAATAAGACAAGTTTTTAACAAGTAATCTAAATAAATAGTGTAAGTATTATGGATACATGTAACGGGAAATAAAACCAGACAATTTAGGTGGTGGGATGGTTAACCTTAGGTACTAACTTGACTAGATTAGGGGATATCCAGATAAGTAGTAAAACTATTTCTGGGTGAAGGCATTTGCAGAGCAGATCGCTGTGTGAGTCAATAGACGGCGTAAAAGTTCTATTCTCAATTCTTTCAAAGATTATGGAGGACCACATGGAAGGCTCTCCCTGGAAGAACAGCATTAGGCCCTACCTCTGTGTACTGATATATACAGAACTGGCTAGGATATTTCCTTATCCCCTCAATTTGCTTTAAGCAATGTAAATGAGTTTAGCTGAGGTCTTTAAAGCAATTCAGTCAGTCATGCCCCGCCTGTAGCTCCCAAGTAGAATGTGTGAGCTAGCTGGAGAGTCACCATGCCTGCCGCCGAGACTGACCCTCGAGAAAAGAAGCTGTGACATTTCAGGGCATGACGATCATACATCAAAACTTCTTTACAGCTCCTCTCACACTACACAGGACTTCTCCCTTAACAACCAGTCGTTTCCACCGGACTCCTCCACGGCATGAAGGCAGCCCTACACCCCGCTGAAATAAGGTACCACGTTTGGGGACCTAGAACTCCGAGCTGTGTTTTCCTCTGGCACAGCCCTTGCCCTTCTCGCTCGGGAAGAACCGAGTCGACACCCCCTGCACACAGCAATGCAGAGGCGGTACGCACGACTGCGCCGACCGCGCAGGTGTGTGTGCACGCAGAAGACACACGCGTGTCCGCGGCTTTCCCGGGGCGGCCAGCGCCGGCCGGCAGCCGAGGAGCAACGGCAGCCAGAAAAACACCGCCTGCGGGTCGTGCTAGCTCCGCCACCGCGGCGCCATCGTGGGGCCGGTACTTCGCCCTTTCACCTCTCTGAAGCCTGCAGGCGACCACGCGACAGACACTCACGCGGGCCAGGTCTCCGAGCGTGAGTGGCCGAGGACACGGCGCTGGAGAAGGCCCGCAAGGTTCTGAACCCCGGTTGCAGGAGGAAACGCAGGGGAAGCACGGCGGCCGCCATAGCTGTGAGGACGGCAAGCCAGAAGGAACAAGCGCGCTTCGCGTCGCGGGGCGGGACCTGGGCCGCCGTGCGCAGGCGCGCGGGCCTTGCCCCGCCCCGCGAACGGAGAAGCCGGAAACTCGTGGCCCTTGGACTTAGAGCCTGAGTGGACAGTGCAGGAACGTAACCCCGAAAGAGAAAAAAGTAATGAAAACCGGTGTGTGTGTGGCGGGGGAATTAATGCAATCAATCAGGTTAAAGACAATTGCCAGTAAATACCGGAAGGGACGAGGGGAGAGGTGGCTCACAGGGGCAGGCCTGGTCTGGAGTCCTCCGAGTTGGTCCGGGAGTTAGCGTCAAGCTGGCTACTCTAGGGCCCTGATAACTTGCAGCTGCTGCTTTTCTACACTTACGTATCTATTTTTTAAATTGTGTAAACTGTTTTTACTGGTAGACTATCAGTTTGGGCACAATATTGAATTAATTCAAGAATATCTTTGGTCATATA